CTGTTGAGAACAATTACGAGGCTGGATTCTTGTTGTATCAGCAAAGGATCTTTTTGTCTGAGGGAATCTAGCTGAAGCTTCTAAATATGAAATATTTTCTTGTGACATAACAAGTTTAATAGATTTTTGCCTTAGATGTTCAGGACATGTAGGGTCTTTTGCGGTGTGGGGACCAGAGCAGAATAGGCAAGTAGGAGTTTGTCGAGTATAAGATAAACCCTCATGATTCTGTGCACATACAAAGCAGCGAGGGGATGATCGGCACTGGGAAGTAACATGGCCAAATCTACAACATTTATGACACTGAATTAGTGGCAAAACATTGAAATAATACTAGTTTTTACGGAATTTATCGCGTATATTTTAACTTTTTAAATACCCGACGTTTCGAACGCTTTACAGCACTCATGGTCACGGGCAGGACTGAGATGTTCAACGTCCATATGTCATAGTTAACCGCGGTTACCATAGATTAAAATTTAACTTTTGTTTCGATCTATGCAGTATGAACTTATGGTATCTTGAAGTCTTGCAGTTGTATGCTTGAGTTGGGATTTAATTTTATTTATTATAGGATCCCAAGCAGATGGTAGCACCCAGCCATCTTCTCTATTGAAATTAGGATGTTTTTTGATTTCAATAGCCTCGCGAATCATCCTTGGAAGGAATCGGTGTTCTTTAGCGAGGATCTGCGGTCTATCAAATCTGATGTAGTGACGGGGGCGATCCTGTACGTGTTCACAGACTGCAGACTTCCCGGAGCATCGATTCTTCACATCAGCTATATGTTCTTTAACGCGGGTTTTTATTGATCTTTTAGTTTGTCCTATGTAGGAGAGACCACATTCACAATCAAGCTTGTACACTCCTAACACTTGGTTAGATATCTTGCGCGCACGATTAGAAGATCTAAAGACAAAGCGCGAAAGATATCTAACAGCCTTAAATTTCTTGAAGAGATGCCGTGACCATAATCTCATTCCTACGTGTGTTAAAATATCAACCAAAAAGGACATTCGAGGAAGCGCTAAGATCTTAAATCAGGCGAGTAAAAAGTTGTTACGAACGGTAATCCAACAAAAACGCTCCGATCTATATGACATAAACAAATCCATAGACACATCATCCAGTGAATTGAAGAAAGTTTTAACGACGTTTGACTATAATTTTTGCATGGAAACATTAAATAAACGCGAAATTAATAAATATAATGAATGCAAAAACAAACATATAGAAAAATATCAAAAATTAACGAACAAGTCAAATGTCAAACATCTGAATCAATGCCAGAACCGAAAGCAACCATTGACAAACACAGATCATAGATTAATCGCGCTCTATAATCTGTCAAAACAAACACTGGATGATGCAACAATTAGGGTTTTATCCAAAGGCCTCAACTTTGCAATTACACCCCGCAAATTACCGTACGAAGAAATTATCTGTAGTGTCGAGGACTGTTTATTTAAAAACAATATGCGGAAAGAAGATTTGGAGGCGATACGTCAAGACATCTCGTCTATGTTACGTCGATGTTCAGTGCCTAAACCGAATCTTCCCAAAGACGAATTTATAGCGTTAAAGAACCTACGCAATAAACACGAACTTACGATTCTCCGCGCAGATAAGGGAAACGCCACGGTAGTCATGGATACGTCAGATTATAATTCCAAAATACAAGAACTTTTGTCGGATGTAAGTACTTATAAAAAAGGTTAAAAACGACCCAACAAATAGCACACTAAAAACAACTAGTGACCTCATAAAGAAACACTCCGAAAAATTAAATCTGGACGTAAAATGGATAATACCTACGTGCGCCAAATCACCAAAATTGTATGGGTTACCAAAAATACACAAGCCCAATGCTCCATTACGTCCCATAGTGAGCCAAATCGATTCACCAACTTACAGATTGGCTCAACACTTAGCGAAAATACTCTCACCACTCAGGGGACATACAAGAGCACACATAAAGGATTCCTACCATTTTGTCAGCGAGATTAAAGACCTACATCTGGCAGACAATGAAACTATGGTCAGTTTTGATGTGCAGTCATTGTTTACATGCTTACCTGTTGAAGACTGCATCTCAATTGTAACTAGAAGGCTGGAAGAAAACAACATGCCCGTAGAATATTCAGTATTACTCAGACACTGCCTTACATCTGGCTACCTATTGTGGAAGGAGGAGTTCTACAAGCAAGTAGATGGTGTGGCGATAGGCTCACCTGTATCTCCCATTGTCGCTGACATATTTATGGAAGACTTTGAGGAGAAAGCCCTGCTTAGCTCTCCCATAAATCCAAGGTTCTACAAGCGGTACGTAGACGACACTTTCACAATTCTACCTTTAGATAAAGTAACTGCATTTTTAGACCATCTTAACTCTATAAATTCTAAAATTCAGTTCACAATGGAGTTAGAGGCAAACAATTCCTTAGCTTTTCTAGATGTGTTAGTAATTCGGAATCCTGATAACACCTTGAGCCATACTGTGTATAGAAAAAAAGACCCATACAGATAGATATTTAAACGGTGATTCTCACCACCATCCTTCACAGTTAGCTACCGTGGGTAAATCTTTGTTTCAGAGAGCACGAGGGATCTGTGACAGTAAACACCTGGCTGCAGAGCTCCACCATGTCAAGCAAGTTTTGCATGACAACAAGCTTCGAGTCCCGCGCCTACGTCACAGAGAACGAGTGAAGCCGGCCACAGTCGAGCGTGTACCTGCTGTACTGCCATATGTTAGAGGAGTCACTGACAAGATTGGCTACATCTTGAAGCGCGCTTCCATCAAAACATACTTCAAGCCGCTGAAGAAGATTGGTCAGTTTTTACCATCGGTCAAGTGTAAAGTCCCTCTGCAAGATGCAGGAGTGTACAAGCTTGATTGTGAATGTGGTCTCTCCTACATAGGACAAACTAAAAGATCAATAAAAACCCGCGTTAAAGAACATATAGCTGATGTGAAGAATCGACGCTCCGGGAAGTCTGCAGTCTGTGAACATGTACAGGATCGCCCCCCGTCACTACATCAGATTTGATAGACCGCAGATCCTCGCTAAAGAACACCGATTCCTTCCAAGGATGATTCGCGAGGCTATTGAAATCAAAAAACATCCTAATTTCAATAGAGAAGATGGCTGGGTGCTACCATCTGCTTGGGATCCTATAATAAATAAAATTAAATCCCAACCCAAGCATACAACTGCAAGACTTCAAGATACCATAAGTTCATACTGCATAGATCGAAACAAAAGTTAAATTTTAATCTATGGTAACCGCGGTTAACTATGACATATGGACGTTGAACATCTCAGTCCTGCCCGTGACCATGAGTGCTGTAAAGCGTTCGAAACGTCGGGTATTTAAAAAGTTAAAATATACGCGATAAATTCCGTAAAAACTAGTATTATTTCAATGTGTAGTGTTCGCGTAAATATAAGAAATCATAGTGGCAAAACATATTTTTCCACAAGCATTGAGGTGTAAAAACAGTAAATATGGGGAGGAAGTTTTTGTCCAGAAAAAGTTAGAACAACTGTCTGAGTTGGAACCCATGAAACGCTATTGCTGTCACTCACTGATCGTCTATTAAGTCGCCGTGCTTTAATTATAGAACCGTAGCGAGAGGGAATCTCTACAGCTGCCATTAATTCCTCCAGTGTCCACTCCATGGGAACCCGTCTAACCAGCCCCATACGAGCGACACTATATGAGGGGATGGCTGCCTCATATTTAGAAATTTGGAGAGCTGGGTGATCGATAAAGGTGTTTGCATCTGCATCTGTTTTAAACTCCACTGATATTCTATTTCGTCCAACTTTTTTGACTCCATCATGGACTATATTTTTAATATTGTTATGATACAGAAAATGACCGAATTTAATTGGTTTAAGAGTTACTCCAGACAGCTGATCATTTGAGATTTTACTTACGTGAACTAGAAAAGGAGCGACATCATCTTGATAGTACTTAACTTTTTTATTAATAAAATCAGGATGGGTATATGAGGATTGTATTGAAGGAAACTGTTGATTTGAATCAGTAATAACTATTTTTTGTGGATGGGCAGACTCGTTACTTACTTGGGCACGTTTACGGTTAATTAGTTCTACATTATCAATGTTAATGGGTAAGGAAAAGGAATCATTGCGAACCCTTCCGGGATCGGGAGGTTCGTCCTCCATTATATTACTACAACAAAAAATTACATAAAAACGGCACAACTACAAACACTTACTAATTTACAGATATTAAAACCTCCACCAAAACAGAAAAATTTACTATAGTAAATCAACAACACTTAATAAAACAATAAATTTTAAGCAAAAAAGGCACGACACTTGTATCTCTCACTTCCTCCCGACTCCAAAATCGCATTGCAATTACCATTTGAATGTTTTTACCGATTATTCGCACAACAATGAATTTTAATCACCCAAACACTATGGTATGGTACATAGCGACATATCATTGAAACGACGTCAAGTAAAAAAGTTGATACTGGTTATTTTTTTAAATATTTTGCATCGTTTGAAAGATTCGAATTTAAAGTAATAAAAACTATACACGTTGTAATGAAATATAGTTAACCTCATAATTCAGATTTACGTAAAAGGTTATTTTAAGTCGTGTGAGTACGCTTTTGCAAAGTTATTGCGTAATGATTTATGTGAAACGTCAAAACGTATTTCTTAGATTTGGTTGACTGTAAGTACAGATTATAGCTCACTTTAAACTTTTCTAAGCATTTATGATAAAAATTAATAACATCGTAAGTACAGAAATGTTTCTTACTATAATTTATTCATTTGATGGTTTGTTTTTCGAAGTTTGCAATTGTAAATTAACGAATAATAAGCAAAATTCAAAATAATAACTTAATTTTCGCAAATATTTACGATATTTTGTTTTATGCACCCTATTTTTGCATTTTGTCTATGAGTATATTTGGATATTTAAATGTGTTTGAACTTATTAAAATGACTTACACAGACACTTCTCTTGTCTCGCCATCCCAAGTGCCATGTAGGGCTGCCATCTCGGCAATTTTGAAAGGCGATTCTGCATCAATAACGGCTTGGACGGATTTCGTTACCTGTGGAACATGCAGAAGTTTAGGCTTTTCGGCATTATGTTGACTGTTACCAACTGCTTCACTAGTACAGTGGTTGTTAGCGTGACTGCTCATAATGTGGTCCCGAGTTCTAATCCTGGGTCGGGTCAGCTTCAATTACTTCTCTATCTAATATCTCTCTCTCTCTAACAGCAAAGAATTATCTCACAGTAAAAAGAAAAATTGTAGCAAAATAGTACATTACAATACAAGGGACTTATAAGTAGTTAAGTAGCCGATTGAACCGTGTGAAGTTAGCGCACGAGCGAAGCGAGTGAACTTACTTTAGACGTTTTAATAATCAGTTACTTAAGTTCAATGTATCATACATTATTTTATAGTACAAGTAACATAAATCCACATTTTTTAATTAAAAAAATGGTTATAAAGAAAAAATCGTGTCAAAAAATTAAATATAAAGATGTGATATATGATAATATGTCAAAATATAAAGACAAAATGTACAAACAATTATTTAAATGACTATGTCAAGTATTTCTTTATATTTCTTGATCAAATGATTTAATATTTTGTTTGTAATTTAAAGTATTCTAATAAATGTTACTAATTACAGTTTTATTGTTCTGCATTTAGTATTGTTTCAATAAATGATTAAATTTTTTAAAATTATAAAATATTATAAATTTTATGCGTGACTTAAGTAAAACATATCCTACAATAATCGGCTAGTTAGGTCCCCTATGAGTGTGACTTAAACGCTGAATACAAATCATAGATCTCTAACGTAAATATAATATGTATCAATTTTTTTTCAGTGACAAAATAAATTATGGTTTTAATTACATTACTCACCACTTCAGGAAGTGCAGGATTAGGCCAAGGGTATGTGTGGAATCCTGGCAACACCACAACACTGTAATGGTCTGTAAAGGTGTATTTGGGTTTGCCGCTATCCGGTTCAAATCCGCCTTCCACACCAATGGCCAGCCGAGTGATCTTCTTTTCTGGGCCATCGCCAGTTGTCTCTGGTTCTGGGACCTGTATTTAATAATTAGCATTATTACCGTGTAAAACAAAACAAAAACAAGCAAGCCATCCCTGGAACTTTTCGCTAATTTCAAATGCAAAGTGCTCCAAATTCTACCAATTATGACGAAATTCTATTAGATTCAGTGATTTAGATTAGATTTTGGAATTGATTGTTACATCTACTTAAAAGTTATTAACACGCACACGCACGAAGCACGCACACACACGCACGTACACTTTAAAAAATAATCAATTAAATTCAGCCACGGGTATTTCAAATTGTTTTTTTAGTTTTTACATTTATATGATAAAGATAAATCACCTTTCATAAGGCGAAGGTTGAGAGGGTCAATAAACTATACATAAAGAACAAAGACGTAGCTGCTTTAAAAGTTTTATCATTCATTATACATGGTGTTGTAATTCGTTTGATGTTTATTTTGCTTCAAAGAGTTTGCTCAAAAGAGTATGATATTTATTTTGCTTCAAAGTTTACCTTTTTTAATTATGAAAATACATCATTAACTATTTTGACATACTTACTCGTCCTAGTAATGACAGAGTTTTCATTTATTTTTTGATAAGAAAAGGCACTTGAATATCTTCTATATTTATACAAGAGTGATAAACAAGCACACAGTCCACCTGGTGGTACGTGTATGCCGTGGTATGTGGATAGACTACTACATTTACCCCTGATTAAGAATCAAAATACAGATGCGTTGCGTAAATAGGATCTCCGCTTTTTGTCACTCATCCAATCTTGTGTAGGAGCAAAAATCAGTTATAGGGTTTTCTAAACTTGGGCAGCATCAGTTGTTAATGTTTCACCTTCGTGCCTCGGAAAGCACATAAAGCAGTTGGTCCTGTGCCTGACCTCTCTCTGGATTACCGACCTATTGGACTATGAGAAGTAGAGTGTGAAGAAATAGAGTGCAGCAGTGCTTGTGCACACACTCGTGCGCTAATTCCTCTTTTACGCAAAGGGTTAGTTTCCGCTAAGAGAAATTTTGTCTTGAGGACATTATTATGGCAACTATATTAATCAATCGACATAGTTTTTAAAGAAAGCATTTCTGTTGGTAATATTCAAAGAGGATCAAAACGAGTTTGTTTCTCCCCTCCAGCATCATTGAAAGTGTTTATTGCAATTTTATGAGCCGTTTGACGTACTAGGCGGTAAAAAAACAATTATGAGGAAACCAGCATGCTTGAAAAATTAAAATATTTCAAGTCATTTAAGAAATTCGTCAATTCCAGTGCTGTCATGGACCTATGTTATAATTTGTTCATTTTTAACCATTCTAATCCTTATTATAGTTGGATAGACACCTACTGGCAAATTATTTTAGTCCTTTGTTGTATGCATATCGAACAACATAGCAAATAAGTTGTTCTGTTGATTGATAATTATAAATTATTAAAAAAATAACGAAGGCAGTAAAACTTACGGGTATCTTTTCTCTCTGTATGTGAAGGAACACAGCATTGCCTGTCTTTTGGAAGTACTGCTCCACGTAGTTGCGACCGAAGCCAAGAAACGACGTAAGTGATACATAGAGGCCAGTTTCAGATTCCTGTGTATACATACCAGTTCATTGAATTAATATTGGTTTCAGAGAAAAATTAAAGTATTAGTAGATTTCCAGCTGATATCTGATGATGACTATGTCGTTTTGGACAATTTTGTCAGTGACATTTACTTCCGAAATACGCATAAAATCTTACATTCTATGGCAGAAGTCATGGCCGTAGCTAGGTTGGCACAGACCCAATCCTATTGCTGGAAAAATGAAAAATAAAATATGAGGCCAGATAACAACACATCAAAATAAAAAAATAAAAATTTAGCTTTAGCTGCTACTGTTAGAATTGAAGCTTTAGAGTAAGGCCTCAGTAGAGAGGTAAGACGTGAGGCGTGGTGACGCGTGAGTCATACAACTCAAGCGGCTGCCACTCTGGACAGTGAAATAGAACATGTGTGATTGTCATGGTACGGATAAAGCGAGTTATCAGATGTACTACTCAGGTATTCGTACTTTAGCTACTTTACTTACAGGTAACACTTTAAACATTAAGCTATCTGTTCGTCATTTATGGTTAGGTGAGAAAATGGCCGTTAATCTTCTTCACATCTAGGAAAAACCGATTAAGTAGTTTAAAAAAAACACCATAACATGTACAGACAGCTGTATATAAATTGAGTTTCTTTTAAAATATTGGTATTTAAATTGTTACTTTTAAGTATTGCACGATATGCGGGCGGCGACAGCTTTGTTAGACCATTACCATGTGACATGCGGAAAATAGTTCAAAGGTATGGTTTATTTACTCATTGCAAAGTGAAAGCTAAACTAATACTTATATTAAAAATATTCATGTTTAATAATCATCAAAAACACTGTCACCATAGTTCATGATTTGAAACATCATACACTATGGTACATCATATTCATAATGCATATTATATGAAAATAAAATGACACGTAAACACTAAAAAGTGCCCCCATAATTTGCACATTGATAACACCTATCGCCTTACCGAGTCACCCAAATCATAGGGGCAAGCAATGTAATGTAACATTTGCTCAGAAGCAGCCTTTGGAACCACTCAAAATGACTAATATCATGGATTTGTACCTCGGAACATTTTTAATATTCTGCGGCTTCACAATGAGTTTGCTTAATTTAAGAAGAGTCATAAGGAAAAGCCAGACAACAATATCTTCAGTGTTACTATCAGAGAACATTCTTCTAATGTGCATCGGTATAGCTTTTTTGAGTAGATCAGTATACTCAATGAATTCAAGTAGTATGACCATGATAGAAATAGAGGAAAGAACAGCCGAGTTGAAAAAAATTGGTAAGATTGAAAATGTATCATTACAATGTGGATTTCTTTCGGTTTTAATGAGCTATGGTCCATTGATAGTGTCTTTAGTGAATAGTTTTTTGAGTCTAATTATAGACAATTACATGCATTACAAAATGATTCATGATATCAAGATAAAGAATGAAGAAAATATAGTAAGGGAGATTGGTGAAGACATCAGACCTAGTAGAAAAATTGAACTCAATAAACTTTTGGGGATATGGAAGAGATATTTCTCATATGGAATAATAGTTTTACAGTGGATTGTTCCTGTTGTAATTGCTCTATTAATGTACCCAGTGGGGGCACGCCCACAGCTAAGTACAGGCGAAGAAAGGACAACGGAGAATTCTTGTATTACAATGTTAAATTATGTGACAGAGAGATGCTCTAATTCAACAGTTTTCAATGACACAGATTATTTCGTACCAACTAAATATTTAGAATTATATGAATTTGGCCAACAAAATGTGAATGAATCCAAAAACATAAATAAAATTTTAAACAATGTTTTCAACATTCTTGCAACCTATAATAATGAAACAGACTTCCTATTCACTAATGACTCCAGGTCCTTAAGAAGACCAAAAGTGAATGAAATCTGCACAAAGATCTGCTATGTTGACAACAAGAAACTTCTACTTTACATATTTCTTCTTGTTGTAATAACTTATTTTGTGCCTATAACTATTTCAATGGTAATTTTAACAAAAATTCACATTATGGAAGTGAAAAAATCAAATATGAAGACATATGTGACAAGAGAGTTGTTATATAACATACTTTTCTGGACTCCAGTAATGTTTGATACTTTTATATCGTTGATGTTTTGTTCGTACTCTACAGATGGCATGCGCACATCCATATTCAACGTCATTGCGAATATTTACCAAACAGTGAAAAACTTCATGAACACCAAATATTTTAAAGAAAATTCTATTGTTCCTGTTTAGTAACACTATAACTTGTATGACATGTTTGATACTACATTCACAAATGGTATATAAAGTGAAACATTGTAAAACTAAGCCACAAAGCTAATAAATAATTATAAATATGAGTTAATATTATGAATATTATGATTAAGTTTAATATTATTGAAGTGAAAACTTCTTTAACATCCTCATGATATTGTGATTTGAAACTCGATGAATCTAAAAAGCGACACCAATGACTTAAGTTATTAGTAAGTAATTAAAAAAAATATTTAATGATTTCTTATATTTACATAAACACTACACATTGATTAAAACTACTTTTACGGATTTTATCGCATTTAACTTATTTGATTTTTAATTTTCGACGTTTCGGGTGCTTTCCAGCACCCATGGTCACGGGGACTAACATCCCGATGTCAGTGTTAACCCGGAGTACATTCAGCTTTTTAACTATTATTTATGGTCCAATCTACCCAGAATGAACTTACAGTAAGTCTTGAAGTCTTGCAGTGGTACGCTTGGGTTTAGTTTTAATTTTATTAAAATTCAAATCATATCCACCCTACTTTACAAACGGCAAAAAACAACAAATTTAGTAGGCATCTTTGACCTTCTCACTTTGGAGGGTCACAGGCTAGGGGATATTGAATTCCGATATGTTTTAATTAGTTTACTTTAGTTTAGTTTACGACGGGATGTTTTCCGCAACTCCACGTCTAATCGCGTATTTTGCTTGTGGGCAGGAATACTATGGTTATTCGAGCCATGATATCTCGACGAAGAAGCTCAGCAGTCCCTTGATGTTGCAAGCAACATCGGGAAGCGATCCCGGCGTGCCGAGATGTTTTACGCCCTGTATGAAGCGACTTCTGGACATGTCAGCAACACGTGAGCCGCCGTTTCTTCTTCTCCCATGCATGCCCTGCATAGGGGGCTATCAGTAACACCTATGGTGAACAAATGTTTGTTAAAAGAGCCATGTCCTGTGATAGCACTTGTTACTATCTTGATCTGTGGCTTGTTCAGTCTCATTAGAACCTTGGTTAGACAACTGTTTATTTCAGGTAGGGCCTCCCTAGCTTGTCTACAGTCTACAAAATTTTTCCAAAGCTGAGCGTGTAAATTATTGAAGTATCTACATACCAGTGAATGAACGTAGCCAAAGGGGATTGGTATTATTGGTTCCGGCCCTATAGTTGCTAGGGCCGATCCCCTTCTAGCCAGTTCATCTGCTGCATCGTTGCTTCTAGATCCACTGTGTCCCTTGATCCATTGCAGAGTCACATTGTTGTGCTTACATACCTCATTCAATCGTTGATGGCACTCGCATATCAGTCCTGAGTTCGTCACATTGCAACTCAGAGCTTGTAGTACCGCCATACTGTCGGTCAGTATTCTGATGGAGAAGTCTTTCACCTACCTAGCATCTATAGCTATAGCCGCTTGGATGATACCCATGCATTCAACCTGGAAGACTGTGTTGTGTGGGTACCCCAGCGGTGTGTATATGTGGATATTAAGGTCTTCAGAGAAAGCCCCAGACCCCACACCTTCATTTGTCTTAGAGCCATCTGTGAAAACTTTGAGCTCTCTTGGACCCAATCCTTCCAGTTGGTTAGTTTCCTTCAATTGTATCCTGTACTTCTTATCGAAACAAATTGTTTTGGGATTTTATCATACTTGGCTTGTAAGATAGGAATTTTTGAGTAAATTCTATCGATTATATCTGTATGGGGGACTCTACTCTTACTTAAAAGATTTAGGGTCTTGAGTCTAATGGCAGCTAAAGTTGCTTCTTGTTGTATATATAGATGAAGCGGTGTTAGCTCCAGCATAGCCTCCAAAGCTGCTGTTGGTGTAGTCCTTATGCAGCCCGTGGCAGCCATACAAGCTAATCTCTGGTAACGCTGAAGCTTTTGTATAGTGGTAGCTTCATTGGTTTTGGTCCACCATACCAGAGAACCGTATGTGATCATGGGCCGAATTACAGTTTTGTACAGCCACAGTATAATTTTTGGCGTTAAACCCCATCGTTTGCCAATCATGTTTCTGCATTGCCAGAAAGTTAAACTAGCTTTGCTGATTTTGTTTTCTATGTATTTGTTCCAGTTAAGTTTACTGTCCAAGCTAAGACCTAGGTATTTTACCTCGGAGGAAAGCTGGAGTTTTGTCCTGAAAAGACTTGGAAGATGATAGTTATTCAGCATTCGTTTTTGTGTGAACATTACTATAATCGTTTTATTTGGATTAACGGTTAGGTCATATTCACTGCACCATCTCTCCACAATACGGAGAGCCGCTTGGGTCAGGTCTTACCGGAGACCAGTATTGTCAGATCATCTGCATAACCGACTGTGTAAAAATGGTTAGCGTTTAATTTGCTGATGAGTTCATTAATGACAATATTCCACAGGAACCCCACCACCCCTCCCATCACCCCCACCAGATCTGAATTGTCTGAGATTCACCAGCTATCTTTATTGTTTGTGTACTGAGCATGTTTACTATCCAGTCAATCAGTGCCGGTTCAACATTATTTCTACTTAGGGCACCTTTTATGCTGGAGAAATTTGTTCTGTCAAAAGCACCTTCTATGTCTATGAAGGAGCCTAGACATATTGCTTTGTTTTGGATGGCCTCTTCAATCTTTAGATGTTAATTAATTTGTTTTCATTTTTTGTAAAATATCAGTGCCATAAGCTTCTACTCCGTTCACATGTTACACCCTATTTTTTTTTAGATGGTAAAAAAGGTTAACCAGGATAGATATAGGGCAAACAAAAAGGTCAATTAGAACCCGCGTAAAAGAACATATAGCTAACGTGAAGCATCAACGTTCTGGGAAGCCTGCAGTTTGTCATCATATCCTAGATGGCCCCTACCATTACATCAGATTTGATAGACTCAAATCCTTGCGAAAGTACATCGGTTCCTACCAAGGATGATATGTGAGGCTATTGAAATTCAAAAACAACCTAATTTCAATAGAGAAGGAGGCTGGGTACTACCACCTGCTTGGGACACCATAATTAATAAAGTGAAAACTTAAAAATAATAATTAAAAATATATAATAATTTAAACCTTAAGGTACTCCCGGCGAACACTGACATAGGGACGTCAGTCACCTCAGTTCCCCTGTGACCATGGGTGCTGGAAAGCACCCGAAACGACGGGAATTAAAAACCAAATAAATTAAACGCGATAAAATCTATAAACGTAGTTTTAATAAGAATTATTTATTGTTCGATATGTATTTGACATTTATTAATAAATGTATTTTTTAATAGAATGGGGGTGATAAATGACCACACCGTCCATCTGATGGTAAGTGGATGCTGTGACCCATAGACATCTTCATTTACAAAATGCAGATGTGTTGTCACCCCTGAGAACTACAATGGAATGCCTACCTGTTCCCAATAAAAAGGGTCTCCGGTTCTCTACACTCAGCATATGAAACACAGCAGGTGTTTCATATGCTGAGTGTAGAGAACATTAAGCTGCTATTTTAAATCAATATTCTGTGAAAGCATGGTCCTTTCCCAATCACACTGATCCATTAGATAAAAGTAAAAACTAACTTTAAAACCAATAAAGTAATTACTACATAATAGCTACTGAAGTCAGTGTTAAGACTTAATGTATAGAGAACTGAAGCGCAATTTTAGAAATTATTAAGTATCCTTTTACTTTTTGAAGTCTGTGTTTACTTTTTACTAGCCATTCCTCGTAACTTCGTCCTCATGGAATTTATTACAATGGATTTGATGGCTCGGAACCCTAATTCTTTTTCTAAAATAAAAGTAGCCTAAGTTACTCATTATAACATCGACTATCTGTCAGTGAATGTTTCATCAAAACCGGTCCAGCTGCTTCGGAGATTAGCCAGAACAAACAGACAGACCGATAGACAGCCAAAATTTTTTTATATTGTTTTTTTTTTTTTGTTATAAATACCTTGTATATATTCATATGCATTTAGTAAAAAGCTGTTATTTTGACATATTATTTATTTGTATAGACTAGAAGTTTAATTTTTTTACCCCTTTAAGCGGATTAAGGAGTTTGTAACTCAAGAATTTTTTTGTCTAAACAGGTACATTATAAACTACACCTCTGTTTTTTCATCCTTTGGAAATTTTCCTTTACTTTTATATAGGGCCACTCCCGAGGTATTCACAGAAATTGGTGAACATACATAAGTATACTGAACCCCTTTGTTTTTTTTAATTTGATAAGAAGTAAATTTAAAACTAGCCTTCTATTGCGGGATTACTAACATATGCACCAACAATTATACAGGTGTACTGGAATCCAACATTCAGCAGTGAACTGGTTTTAGGCAAGGGTTTTATCAGGATATTTTATTCACAAAAATCTTAGAATTTTTGGTGATATAAGCATTATATTAAAAATGCATAAATATTCAGCCTGCACAACATTTTTGATACCAAAATAATAATGTAAGTTTTGCTGTTTCAAATTTTGTGTTTTGTGTAATTAATACACAAAATATAATGTAAATCTTAATTCAAAAAAAAATTCACTGAAAACACTTCAAACTAACTTTTTTATACTTCATGTTGATAAAATGTATCAGAACATGGATAGCTGGAAAGTTATAATGAAATTTGATGGAACAAATCGCAACATAAGTTAATTTCAAATGGGTTTGCTCATTAAAAATGGTATTGTTGCATTAAAAGTTACATTAAGTAAGACAAATGTCAAAGAATGTGAGTGTGTGTGAGACAGATTGTATTCCTGTTGACTGACTTTTGGAGAATAAGAATATGAAAGATCAAAGAACACCACTTATTTAAGAGTCAGACAAATAGTGATGCTATTGTAAAGGAAGAGTGAAACAGACAGAATAGTGAAAGAGACATTGACCAAAGTTGAAATGGCATCTATGCTGTAAGGAATGAAGCAATATTGATTTGTAATACTTTCTATCTATTAAATTAAATGCCTAAATGTTTATTATAGAATAAAGTTGACAACTAAGCACACATTCCACCTGATGGTGAGTGTATTCTTTTATTTTATAGAACAAGGGTGACAAATGAGCACACAGTCCACCTGATGGTAAGTGGATGCTGTAGCCCATAAACATCTACATTTATCATCAATTGAGAATATAAATGCAAATGCATTGTCACCCCTGAGGACTGAGATGGAATGCCTTGTTTCCAGTAAAAAGGGTCTCCAGTTCTCTACACTCATAGTACAAAACACAGCAACATTAAGGCTGCTATTTTACGCTCGTATTCTGTGAGAATGTGATCTTACCCCGGTCGAGCCGATCCACTCCTGCTGCAACCACAATATAGCTGCAGCATGGCTCTACCAAATGCTTTGGTTTATAAACATCTACATCTATTCATGATACAAAGTTAATTTTTTATAAAAGTTATAATTTGTTTACCCTTAGCATACACGCATAGCTTCTGCTACTAATCAACCTTTGTAATAATTGTTACACAGCTTCTAAAACTCTTGGGCTTAATTTGGCAATGTTTACTAGGTATTTATTTTATTTTATTTGAAAACTTAGAGCAATAGCTTATTTTTTAAATAAAAAAATATAATAATGTAAGTATTAAGACTTTCACAAGATTCCACTTTTAGAATTAAGAATAAGTGAAATAAACAAAAGCCAGATCAAAGATAAATCTATAGTTAATATTACCTTAATAATAAAAACTAGACCAGTGAATATTTACTGGTTAAGGTACACTAGGCCACATTTGGGGAAGTATTAAATGAATTAATGTCAAACTTAAACAAATTTATAAATTTAGCAGTTTTTATCACGAAATAATTGTTTATAGTGTGTATGAACTCTGTTTATATAAAGAAGTTTGAATTCCTTCATACTTGGTATAGGAACATTGCTGTTCTTTCTGAGCTAGCGGGTTAAGGGTATGTTCCGAAATACAACCCAGTACACGGTCGAATGCGAATGATGTCATGAATTGACGCTATACTGGTGATTCGTTCCAAAACATAGGACAGTATATGATGTCATACATTTACGCCATATTAGAAAAGTGTTGGCGATTATTTTGTCATTTTGTGCTCCAAAAATCATTTTCTCTTCCTAATAAAGATACCAGCAATTATTCTATAATTTTTTTGTATTTGAATAAATAAAAACAAATTCTGGCATGCTTCATTCAGCGCACATACAATTAAAAATTGTTTTATTGTGGCCGGATATCAGACGTTATAAGGCGGCAGCACGCCAGTACAATATAGTGTCAATTGATGATGTCATTTGCATTTGCCAGTGTACTGAGTTGTATTTCGGAACATACCCTAAATGTAACAACAGATAATAATTCGGGGAGGTACACAAGTCAATATTATGTCAAAAAGATAAAGGAAGAAAGTGGCACCGTTTTGACCACTCTCTTCATAGTCGCGAGAATTCACATGCACTCTGTAATCAAGGTACCTTAAAACCTTTCCTGGACACCTTCAATACCTCACCTATAAATCCCTAAAAACGATAAGCTATTCATAATGCTAATATTTTGACTGTTTCAATGTCAATGTCCAGTCTAGTAGTCTAGTGTGAACAGAACCCACACCATTTCTTCTTATATTTATAATAACACAACAAAAAATATATTAACCGTAATACATATTGTGTCGATTTTGTCTAAGAGTAAATTATAAATGTTTGGTTATTGAAACTAAAGGGGCTGTAATGATGGTAATAACGATGAAACGAAACTGCAAATAACAATCGTCATTTATTATTTAGCATAATATCTGCAAAAATTATAGGTTATATATAAAACAAACTGCAACTCACCGGATTGTCAAATGAATAAACACATTCATCTTTGTACACTAATTGTTGTGGCGCCGGTAATTTGATTTTTGATAAATGTGGCGTTAGCAATTCTAGTGACGCCATGGTACGAGTCTAATATTATTAAAGGTAATTATTTATTACAACGTACTAACTCTTTGAGTTGAAAATCAAATAAATTGAGATTTTTTTCGTGTAATCGTCTCTCACGGCGTCAACCAAACGTCAAAGTCAAAATATAGTCAGTAATCTATGGTCAAACGTCAATTTATTACTGTTAAGATTAAGATTTTTGGCTTGGATGCTTGTTCTTTAAGCGATGTCTTCATTTCATTTGGGATCTTCGTTTTTTTTTCATAATTTACCGACACATCACATTGCGAAGTATTGGGGAGATATTTTCGAACACTTAATTCAGCTGATATTCGATAATGGTAGACAACGACTACTAAGATGATGATAACTAAAGTTCTAAAAGTGCGCCCAAGCAGAACAGAATAACTTGAGGTAATTTTATACTATCGCAGTCACCTCGTTTTTTGGCTCTAGAAAATCAAAAAATCATCCGCTTTCGATGTTTTTTTTTTAATCTTCGTCTTTATGGCGGATTTATGGAAAAAATATGGAAAATATCTCACCTCAAGATTTCTTATAGTTTTATGGCTTTAAATGTGATCATAAACACACTTCTTCCAATATAATCATCATTCATAACTTTTTTGCAAAGCATAAAACGACGTTTTTTATTTTTTTTAATTATCTACACAAAACGAACATTTAAAAATGTTTGTTTATTAATTATTTATCTCACTTAAAGTTTTTATATGGTTTTCTGACTTTAAATGTTATCATAAACGCTCTAGAAAATCGAAATATTTATAAAAGTTAATATTTTGGTGTTTTATTGAGTGTAAGATTGAACAAAGCGAGCTCGAGACTTAAGGCATCCCAACTCGGACAAGTTAGGTTAGAAGGAGATGGCGGGGTCTATTCACTCACTTCGCTTCGCTTCGGCTTACGTTACTCCCAAATCTTTCCCGTAGCGCAGTTGAGGGAAGCCCGGTCGACGGAGCCCCGCTTCGCGGGTCTCCTACTTCTGAGTGGCTTATAAAGTGGCTTATCTAAGAAGGAGATGGCAGGTTTGAGTGAGCGAGCGAAGCGAGCGAATAAACCTCGCCATCTCCTTCTTAGTTATTTTTTTATTACCTGTGTTTTAAGAAAATGTAAAACTAATTTAGTTAACAGATGGCGGAATCATCGAACAACAGCTGAAAACACTGCAGCCGATAATTCCGCTCTTGGAGAGGGAGGAGTTATGCAACCACAAGACCATAGGGTTGTTACGGTTCGTACTTAGAGGGGGCTGCATAAGCATTAGACAGTATTCAGTAACTGTAGAGTCAGCGCTTTTGGTTGCATGTGGTATCAGACAGAGCTCATGCGAGAGGCCACTTCGTTTTCACATCGACTTCTGTCAAGACGTATTAATTAAGTAATTACAATTATAATTGTATTAGGAAATAAAATAGATTTTAAATAGTATCCAAAAATCATTTTACGTTCCCGTAATCTTGACTACCTCTTTCTTAAATGTTTGTTTTTTTTTGTGTAGATTATGAAAAAATATAACAACTTCATTTGATTATTTAAAAAAAATTATCAACAATTGTACGAGAATGAAAATGTGAAAAAAAAGAGAACATTTTCCGTGAAACCAGTATAAGTTTTCATTCGCAAATCCACCGTAATAATGAAGATTTAAAAAAAATCATCGAAATCGACTCTAGAGAATCGAAAATTTTCTAGAGCCGTGGCCGAGCCGAGAGGTGACCGTGATAAAACGTTACGTAGTTGTTTGTCAGAAATGATGATGAAGATGTCGGACTCCGAAAAAATAATCCGAAACGTCGCATCATCTTACATCACGATAATGCGAGCTCCCATACGGCTCGGAAGACAACAGATTTTTTGAGTCAGAAAAACGTTGAGCTGATGAGCCATCCTCCGTACAATCCTAACCTGGGCCCAAATGATTTCTTCACATTCCCAAGAATGAAGGATTTATTAAGTGGTCAACGGTTTGAAGACCCCGAAGCAGCTGTTGAAGCATACAAATCAGCCATTTTGTCAACATCAATTTCAGACTGGAATTACTGTTTTAAAGATTGGTTTGCACGTATGGAAAAGTGCATTAAGTTGAACGGAGAGTACTTCGAAAAACAATATCCGTATAAAACTACCTAACTTGAGATTTATATTAACATTGTAGCACTTGTTTCATCGTTTTTACTAATAATTCACATCCGCAAACACTTAATCATGGAATGCAGAGGTAAGGAGAACAGTCTCACATGGAGAATGTAAAAGTGTCCATCTGTAAGCAATAACTATTTGTTAAAAAAAACTACCTCAACAGCGCTGGAGTAGCTAAAGGCTAGAACGTAGGGTCGGTATTTTTATCGATAAACAAATCATCATAGTCCGCATAAGTTCAGCGTTGGGTAGACTGATTTTTAGTGTTTTTTCATTCATTACAGCCTTTCACAAGTCCGCTGCTGAACATCGGTCTCCCCCAAGGAATGATAAAAAGCACGATCATGAGCCACCTGCATCTATCGACTTCCTGCATGTCTTACTAAGTCGTCATTCCATCTCTTTACACCGGTCGTGCCAATATTTCTCGGGAAAACGTCTCCGAGTACCGGGACAAACTTGTATTTGAAGTCGAGTCTTTGCTGAACAGAGTCTCAGATTGGGGGCGACTACATCTAGTCCAGTTTAACCCCCAGAAGACAAGTTTGCGCGTTAACCGCTAAAAAGAATCCCTTTGTCGTATCTCCTCAGTTCCAAGGCACTCCCCTCGTTGTCTCAGCCAGTATCGGAATCCTCGGCGTCGATATATCGAGTAACGTGCAGTTTCGTGGTCACTTGGAAGAGAAGGCCAAATTGGCGTCTAAAAAGCTTGGCGTGCTCAGCAGAGCAGGACAGTATTTCATGCCAGCACACCGCCTGCAACTTTACAAGGCGCACGTTCGGCCGCTCATGGAATACTGTTCCCATCTCTGGGCTGGGGCTCCCCAGTACAAGCTCCTTCCGCACTTGACCGCATCCAGCGCAGAGCGGCTCGAATCGTCGACGGCCGAGCGCTTTCCGATCGGCTCGATTCACTGGCGCTGCGAAGAGATGTTGCATCTCTTTGCATTTTCTTTCGCATATACCATGGGGAGTGCTCTGAGCATTTGTTCGGATTAATCCCAGCTGCCAAATTTCGTGAACGCGCTACGCGGCAAACGACTCGATACCATCCACACCATCTGGATGCTTGGCGGTCCACCACTGTACGTTTCAAAAGGAGTTTTCTTCCGCATGCAACCTTTCTGTGGGATAGTTTACCACCGGCGATTTTTCAGGACCAATACTACCTGGGGACCTTCAAGAAAAGAGCTTACTCCTTTCTAAAGGGCTGGCAACGCACTTGCAATTCCTCTGGTGTTACGGTTGATCATGGGCGGCGGTAGTCACTTAACATCAGGTGAGCCGCTTGCTCGTTTGCCCCCTCTTCTATAAAAAAATTTATTGCGGGGTCGTCCTACACTTCGTTCACCGGACCGAGGCTGCCACGCAAGAACTTTTTGTTCCCATCGGTTGTTTGTTTTCCGAACTAAATGGTCGGCCCATTGCCACTTCAGTTTACTAATCCGTGGGTAGTTGCACTCTGTTCCGTTCTTATGTCTAAGTAATTTGGAACCCGAGAATAGCCGTCTCCGTAGCTCGCTGAGAGACTTTAAAGCTTCCTCACACGGCCAGCAGTGAAGGGTTTTTTAGTGTAATATAAAATTATGATTGTATTGGTTCATAGAATTGTTAGTGTTAATAATAATAAAACTCAGGTTTTTTTCAAATTGAATCAAAAAGTAGGCTATGGGAACTTTCTACGTCGTGTTTTTACCGACCAATAAAAACACAAATGCGTCAGTAGCTTCATCGAAATTATTGATTAGTGACCTCTAATACAGTTTCCATCGTGGTCGATCAGGTGGCGATCTTCTGGTCTACCTGACTCATAGATGGATGGAGGCAGTAGAGTCCAAGGGGGAGGCATTAGTTTGGACATAGCGAAGGCCTTCGATTGGGCCTGGCACAAAGCACTTTTTACCAAACTCTCTTCCTATTTTTCCCGGGAAATTGTGCGATTGGATCATTTTTTTGCTAATTGGACCATCAAAGTCGTAACAGCCATTGCATGCTCTGATTACGTATCTATTAACGCTGGTGATGGCTACGTGCTATAACCAACGCTGTTTCTTCTGCAAATCCGATTGAATTACCAAAATTTACACTTTTATTATCGAACACCAATTATAAACTTAAAAGTCACTAATAATTAATCACACTGATTAACTTTATTTCGCTCCGAAGCTTCGCTTGTCTCGCCAAATTCAATACTTCCTCGATCGCACCTTGCAGCGCCTTTAAATACACTTTATCAGCGAAACATCCAGAATATTCCACTAAATACGGGTGCCGAACGACCAGACGCAGAAAGTTCGAGTGTGGGGCTTCTAGAAAGCTTAATTCTTCCGTTCGATACTGGCTGGCGCTGTTGGTCGAAAGATCAAGATTGACATTTTCTACGAAGCCCTCTTCGCTCTGGTCCCCGACACTAGATGGCGCTAGTGCCAGGTACCTGACGTCAACTTAGGCGCGCAACACTGCCCCCTCCTAAGACATGCTCGTCCCGAGCATTATCAGCCCCATAATAACGCGCCAGGCGATCCACATGGACGATCTTAGGAGTACCTCTTGCGACTTTCTGTATCCGGTAGGTTACAGCGTTGATCCTGGTCACAATCCGGTACGGGCCGTCCCATTTAGCTTGAAGCTTAGGAGATTTCCCTTTGCTGCGGACTGGATTGTGCAACCACACTAGTGAACCTTCGTCGAACCCTTTGTGGTTCATTTTGCGGTCATACCGGGTTTTCATCTTTTCGGACATTTACTGGCCCGATTGTCTGACGTGCTCATAAATGTCATTCATTTTGTTCCGCAAGTCATTTGCATAATCGGTTATACTGCGTGGGGCATCAGGTGGTATCCCAGTGATCAGGTCTGCAGGCAGCCGTAATTCTCTTCCAAAGTTTGCGAAAGCTGGTGTCACTGCTGTACTTTCGTGAACAGCGCTTCGATATGACAACAAAAACGGTTGTATGTGCTTGTCCCAATCTCGTTGCCGATTGTCTACAACTTTTGCTTGGTACCTCTCCAGTGTCTGATTAAATCGTTCTACCATTCCATCAGATTGCTGGTGATAAGAATTCGTTCTTGTTTTATGAGTACCCATAACTCGGCAAGTTTCCTGGAATATTTGAGACTCAAAATTCCTTCCTTGATCGCTGTGAATTTCTAAAGGTACTCCAAAACGACTAAAGCAACTTCAGGAACTAGTTTATCTGCAACTGTTGAAGCTTTTTGATTTGGAATGGCGAAGACTTCTGGCCATTTAGTGAAGTAATCCATCACAACCATGAAATACTTGTTACCGCTTTCACTCTCCGGAAACGGCCCCGCCACGTCAATGGCTATTCTGTCCCATGGTGCACCAACATTGTAAAACTTCAATGCACCTCTACTACGAGTCTGAGGTCCCTTTACAGCCGCACAACTTGTACATTCGCGACACATGTCCTCGACACCGTTTCGACAGTGGACCCAGGAAAACCATTCTCGGATCTTCAGTAGAGTTCGATTAACTCCCAGATGGCCTCCTGAATAATCATTATGGTACAGCTGTAGAACATCCGGTACTTTAGCTTTAGGGACAACCATTTGCAAATGACAGCTGTCTCCCCGAACATTTTCCCATTTACGGCAAAGAAATCCATCCTGAAGCAGCAAGCTGTCCCATTGGGCCCAATAGCTTTTAGTGGTCGAACTCATCGCTGAGACGTCGCTCCACTTAGGCTTGATAGCACGGGCCTTCATCCATTCCAGAATCGGCTTGATGTCCGGATCTTCCTGCTGTGCATGTTGTAAGCTGTCCTTCCACTCGTCGCTGAGGTGGTCTGTCCTGAGCATCCTCACGTATACCACTTCCTTACTCTCTTGCCTAGTACAATGTTTGCAATCTTCAGGACAGGGTCTTCTTGACAATTCATCTGCGTTGCCATGAGATTTCCCGCTGCGATGTTCGATCTCAAAATTGTATTCCTGCAGTAGTTCAATACACCTCGCAACTTGTCCTTCTGAATTTTTAAACTGCAATAGCCATTTTAGTGCAGCATGGTCAGTTCGTATGTGAAATTTTCGTCCCTGAAGATATTTGCTAAAATGCTGCAACGACTTCACCACAGCTAGCAATTCGCGTCTTGTGACACAATAGTTCCTTTCCGGTTTTGGCAACGACTTGCTGAAGTACGCTATCACGACCTCTTGGTCACCATTCCGTTGAGACAACACACCGCCAAGTCCTATATCACTTGCGTCTGTGTCAACTATAAATTCTTTGCTTGCATCAGGGTATCCTAAAATAGGTGTTTTGCATAGACGGTCCTTGAGCTCCTGGAATGCGATATTGCAACTTTCATCCCAGCAGATATGTCGCTTCTGCTCGATTAGCTGTTGCAGAGGTTTGGCTATATCTACAAAGTTCTTCACAAATCGCCGGTAATAGGAGCACAAACCCAAAAATGCTCTAACCTGCGTCTTGTCTTTTGGGACCGGCCAATCCTTGACAGCGGCAATTTTCTCCGGATCCGTGCGGATACCTTCTTCCGACACTACATACCCCAAAAAGTTGACTTGCCGTTTGAATAGTGAACATTTCTTCGTACTCAACTCGAGGTCGGTACTCTGAATCTTCATGAGAACGCGTTCCAGATTTTGAAGGTGTTCCTCAAACGTACGGCCCACGATGATGATGTCATCCAAGTAGACCAGCCTTTCAAACGTCGCTGGAGCATTGGTCTGAACACAAAGGTTCAGCATACGTACTCCTGAGATGTTAGTGGTTTTGACCAAGGTTCGAGCCACTGTCTATGGAAGGTCATTGTCTTACATTTCCACGAGTATACAACGATGAGGTTGCCCAGAATTCCGAGGAAGACTAGCCGGCACTATCGTTTCTGCTCTCGGCGGAAGAACAATCTTCGTAAGGCTGTACACGTTCCCTGGTAACGCCCCTTCCACGAAAAGTTCCTCTTGTCCACATTTCAAAACACCTTGCTTAACGTCAATCTCACAACAATTCTTCCACATGAAGTCTAGGCCCAGGATGCAGTCGTCCATTATACCAGCCACGATGACATTATGCAGGTAGATCATGTTGCCCAGCTTCAACTCCATCTCCTTCTCTCAACGGACGGGTATACGCTGACCGGTGGCTGTTACCAAATTAATGCGTTCTCGGTTGTATGCGGAGTCCCCAAGGAACTATCTTATAAGTTGGGAACTAACAACCGTGCGAGAGGCTCCAGTGTCTATGGTAAGTTTACACAGCATTCCGTTGACCTCACCCTTGATTATTAAAATCATGGGTTTGTGAGATCGAGATCCTTGGGGCTTGGGCGCAGTTCTGGCTTTTACTCGTTTCCCTGCTGCTGCTGGGCGGGGCTGTTAGCCACACCACCCTCCTGATATCTTTCACCCTCCCTTTCTACGGTTCGCTTAGGGCAGCTGGATGGAAGATGGCCCCTTTCGCCACAGCCATAGCACCTAGGGCTGCATCATTTATTGCGGTCGCGAACTGTAGCTGCTGCAACCTCCCTGACGCGATGGGAGCGAAGATTCTGCTGCACGGTTTCCACCTCCAGTGCATGTGTCAAGGCGTCCTTAAGATTCTCGTGGTGCCCGAGCCTCATAGCAGCTCTGACTTAGAGGTCGCGGATGCTGTCGATGAATGTCTGCACCAGGGTCCCTTCAATCAGCGCAGGTACAGACTGGTATGCTTTTCGAACCATCTTCTCCAACTCAAGGGCCCACTGCTGCAGGTTTTCGTTGCTTCGTTGCACGCGATCTTTAAGCTGCGCGCGAAAGACGTGTTCCAGGTTAGCGTTGCCATATCTCGCCTCCAATGCATCAAGGAGCTGCTCGTAGGTCACTTTCTTACCGAGAGCTTCCAACACAGTTAAGGCATGGTCACGCAGGACTAGGGTGAGTGCAGTCATGGCCTGGTTTTTATTCCAGCCGTTCGCCTCCATGATAGCCTCGAATTGGATTTTGTAGGCTAACCAGGAAGAAGTCCCGTCGAACGGCGGCACCTTGAACTCACGTAGCGAAGGTGTTGTAGCTACTACGGGAGCTGTAATTCCGTCCCCCAGTTTGAGGTCGTCCAGCGTTTTCTTCACGTCAGCCATCACGTTGTCTACCCGATTGTTTACTTGGTCGATTCGGGTTTCAGCTTTCTCGATTCGGGTTTCAGCTTTCGCGATTTGGGTTTCATCTTCCGACAGGCGGTTGTCATGCTGAGAAACCCTATCCTTCACCTCCTTTATCTCCTTCCCGAAGGTAGCGTGAAGGTCCTTCATGAGGAGCATCTGCTCTTCCAACCGACGGGTCTGTTCCTCTTGTCCGCCCCGTAGCTGCTCTTCCAAACGACGAACCTGTTCCTTCTGTCCGCGCTGCAGCTACTCTTCCAAACGGGCGACGGGCCTGCTCCTGCAGCATCACCATCAGAGCACCTGAGTCAGGTGCTGCAGATGCAGGAGCTACTGACGTGCCGGCCTCCGTGGCCGGCGGCTGGCCCTCCGACGTCTGTGGCATTGCACCACCAAATCGTCTCTGCTCCGTTTCCTGCTGGCGTTGACTTTGGGTACGGACACCCTCCGTTTCCTCCTTAGGTAAAATCGGCATGATTTTATCCCACTTCTGACGCTAATTGTTACGAGCTTGAGGTTCGTGACAATAAAAACTGCCAATTGAATTACCAAAATTTACACTTTATTTTTTTATTTATTTACGCTTTACAAAATTACACCAATTAAAACTTAAAAGACACTAATAATTAATCACACTGATTCACTTTATTTCGCTCCGAAGCTTCGCTTGTCTCGCCAAATTCAATATTGCCCCGATAGCGGGTTGCAGTGGCTTTAAATACACCTTTTACACCGAAATATCCAGAATATTCCAGTAAATACGGGCGCCGAACGACCAGACGCATAAAGTTCGAGTGTGGGGCTTTTAGAAAGCTTAATTCTTCTGTTCGATACTAGTTGGCGCTGTTGGTCGAAAGATCAAGATTGACATTTTCTAGGAAGCCCTCCTCGCTCTTGTCCCCGACACTAGATGGCACTAGTGCCAGGTACCTGACGTCAAATTAGGCGCGCAACAATATGTTGCAAATTGGTAACATTCATTGATATGCAGACGACAGCACTGGTGATGCCTTATACACCAGCCGTGCTAATATTTCTCGGGAAAACGTACCGAGTACCGGGATAAACTTGTGTCTGAAGTCGAGTCTTTGTTTAACAATTCCTCGGATTGGGCGCGACTAAATTTAGTCCAATTCAATCCCCAGAAGACACAAGTTTGCGAGTTTACCGCTAAAAAGAATCCCTTTGTCGTATCTTCTCAGTTTGAAGACACTCCCCTTGCTGCATCAGCTAGCATCGGAATCCTCGGCGTTGACATATCGAATAGTATGCAGTTTCGTGGTTTTTTCTGATTGGCTCGACTCACTGGCGCTGCATAGGGATGTTGCATCCCTTTGAGTAATCTATCGTATCTACCATATGGAGTGTTCTGAGGAATTTTTCGGGTTAATTCCAGCCACCAAATTTCACGAACGTACATCGCGTCAAAATTCACGATACTATCCTCACCATCTGGATGCTTGGTGATACACCAATGTGAGTTTTACTAGGAGTTTTCTTCCTCGTACAACTTCTCTGTGGAATTGTTTTTTCCCGGACCGGCAATTTTCCCGGACCGATACGACTTAGTGACTTTCAAGAATCTTTTCTTGAAACTTCCTTACTTACTTCTTTCTAAAAGGCCGGTAACGCACCCGCAATTCCGCTGGTGCTACGGTTGTTCATGGGCAGCGGTAGTCACTTACCATTACCATTAGGTGAGTCGCATGCTCGTTTGCCCCTTCGCATATAAAAAAATAAGTTTAATTTTCAGAAATAATTTCAAGAAGCATAATATTGGTGTCAAGGGTAATTATAAAAATATTTAATCTATTGATATAATTACAGCTAGACATTACCTCCCAAAAGTTCAAGGTAGTATCGGCTAACCTTCTTTTATTAATAGATTGAGTTTTGAAATATGTTCTATCTAAATGTTCGGAGCAAATGGTGCTAGTCTGTTTAGGTATCTGAGATTCATGATTTCTACAAGTTGTGATCCAAGTCTGCTGCCTAAGAGGATCTCTTGGAAATATGTGAAATCATACCAATAATAGAAAAATGTACTGATTTTTGTAATACTTTGTTAAAAATCCAAACAAAAAATAAAACCTGTTCGGCAGACAAACCCAAATGGTTAATAAACTTATCGATAGCTGTAGTTGTAGCGTATATCACTACATTGCAGTACTTTCTGTTGTAGTGATACCAGCGTATTTAAAAATATTGAATACATTTGCTACGAAGTAGCAAGTTGCGATTCGACTTATTTGGCCTTTATTTTGTATATTATTTTGATAAATACTAGTTATCGATTTTATTACACAATAATATATTCATATATTATTGTGTAATAAAATCGATAACTAGTATTATACGGAATTGTATTGAGATTGAGCTGAATATAAAAATCATTTGACAAAACTCACTACACATCTTAATGTAATGGTTTACTACTCATCACAAACTGATTTAGTTAACCTCTCGTCTGTCCAAAACCTGCTAAATGTCGCTATTAAAAACTACGCGTCTGTCCACAATCTTTAGAAGGTTGCTATTTACTTATAAATTTCAGACACGAAACAGCCGTAGTAAATGTATTGTGTACCTACTTATCTCGGTATGGAATTATCGCTATTGAAGTACAAAATGTGCCTTTTTGTGTCTGTTTTGGGTCATCTTAGGTGGCCCACATTATTGTCAAGCTTGTGGTGTAAGAAATATGTACGCAAAGTTGTGTTTTTTATAAATTATTGTAAAGGGATCTTATTGTAAATAAAATAAATATTTATTGAAATAATTGTATTTTTTTTTTACATTTTTTATTCAACAAACTTCAACAAAAGTGGGTCTCGTCATAGGCTTTGGAATTTATGGGAAATGCCGAAGATTTCGTCATAATTCAGTGTGCGGAAATCAATCTGCAAAAAGACTACGTCAATCATATAATCTATATAAGCTCTGATAGTCAAGCAGCAGTGCTAAGCGCTGAAATCAAACTTAGTGAACTCGAAGCTAGTTGGAGACTGCGTGAACCGTCTAAGCGTCTTGGGATATAATAACAGGGTCGTTTTAAAATGGGTTCTGGGACACACGGGTATTGTAGGCAATGAACTTGCCGATAAACTCGCACGGGAGGGCATAAGATAGAGCACACAATTTGGAACCGAGCCATTTTGTGGAATCTTAGTAAGCCTAAACCCGATTGACCCTTGAAACTCTATATTACAATAAATCACCTAAGATCTGGTCTGATACACCAGTTTTAAAACATTTTAAAACCTTAATCATAAATTCGCTTCAGAAGCCTCGGTATTAGGTAAAAATAAACTGTGCATACTGGCAAGAGTCCTAACTGGATACTATTGTCTTAAAAAGCACATGGCCATCCTAGGGCAAAGCAACTCAAGGATGTGCCGGCTTAGTTCCTTAACGGAAGAAACGCCTCTGCACGTCCTGGCTGATTGTGGACGCTTAATGCGAAAACGTAACACATCTGGGAAACTATCTACTTCGCCCAGCAGAAGTGAAATTGCTCACAGCTAAGCAACTACTATTCATTGAACACATAGGGCTTAGCAGTGAATTATCTTCTTCTTGATCTTTTAGGTCGAAGTGATACCGGTCTTTCTAGACCTGCATAGCTGCTCGCACAAAAAAGCTATACAGTGTGAATCTATGGATTTACCAAAGGTTTGTTTGTTTTTGTTTTTTGTTTTTTTTTTTTTAAATTGTGTCGTGGGGCAGTTTACAAACATAAATTGCACAAGGACAAACATCCAGACCCGGAATAACTATTTTTAGGCCATACAAATACTTGTTCCGTGCGGGATTCGAACACACTTGAACGCACATACACCCACACGCACGCGCGCACACAAACTCGCAAAAAAATCACACACACACACACACACACACACACACACACACACACACACACACACACACGCACGCGCGCGAACTAAATGGCACCCCCCGCCCTTACACACACACACACACACACACACACACACACACACACTCGAGTGACAAATAAATTTGTAATAAAATACTATCCATCATCTTCTAATTGATCTATGACAAATGAATAAAATAACACAAATTCACTCACACGATAACAAAAACTCAAAAACGTCTTTCCACAATAAAACCTGCCAAAGTTTGATCCACAAAATCAGCAGATAACGTATTTTCTTACCTTATTACTATAACGAAGTAGCCTACTGGGTTCTCTGTCACACACAGAACGCGACGTTGCCGCTTCGTGTTCGAGTACCTATTCGTCAATTATGGCTCCGTATCCACTTAGTCTAAGTAAATGTCGCATATAATTTAAATATACTCTGGATCTAAAAAATCATATTCAGTATGATTTTTTCGACCGTTGATAGATCAACAAATGTTGGTAAAATCGCTGACGAGTATATTGAAATCCTGTTAGTGCAGATCCACCGACGTTACACGCGCATCAATAATGGCTCAAAGTATATCAGTTTGTGCGACGAGGAGCTGAGCAAACACCTCAAATACGTTTCGGGATCAACAATTGTTCGTAAGTGTCTCACTGGATCGACATTTACCGTGAAAGGATGATTATATATATATATATATATATATATATATATATATATATATATATATATATATATATATATATAACAAAGATATTTATTTTGTAAAACATGAGTAAATAAAATACAAGTGTTAAAAACTTAAAACGAGCTACGTGTTTTGCCATTTATGGCGTACAAAAATTATACTACATTAAGTTTGCAATTACAATGATAGGTATATAAATATATGAATTAAATTTGATAGGTTAGTGCTTTTGTAAACTTAATAAAATATTTTCAAGTAGAATAATATTGGTGTCAAAGGTAATAATAAAAATATTTAATCTAAATATAATTACAGCCCTACATTACCTCCCACAAGTTCAAGGTTGGTACTGCAGTGTCAGATTCATGGTTTCTATAAGCTACAATCCAAATGTGCCGCCTAAGAGGATCTCTTGGAAATATGTAATAACAAACCAATAATAGAAAAATTTACTACTTTTTGTAATACTTTATTATAAAAAATAAATAAAAACTACAAACCGGTTCGGCAGACAAACCCGCATGGTTAATTAACTTATCGATAGCTAAAGTTGCGGCGTTCATCACTATAGTGCAATACTTTCGGTTGCAGTGATACCAATTTATTTTTATAAAAATTGCACACTTTTGCTGCGAGGTAGCAAGTTTCGATTTGACTTATTTGGCCTGTATTTTGTATAATATTTTAATAAATACTAGTTATCGATTATATTTAATTATATAATATTCAGTATCATGTTAAAATTGAGCTGAATATATAAATCGTTTAACAAAATCCACTACACATCTATATGTAATGATTATTATTCATCACAAACTGATTTAGTTATTAGAAAATATATTTTCGTTAATATATATAACTTGTGTAGTAAATTATATTCTTTTTTTAAATAGATTA